CTAGCCGGTCTCGCGGATCGCTGGCCAAGCACTCTGGAGCACCCCCCACCCCCGCAGCGGCGCCCCCATTTTCCAACCCCTGCGGCGCGCGCGGATGCAGCCGGTCCGGGACGCAGGCAAGACACAGGGCGCGGGGCGCGAGGAGCCGGGTACTGGAGCGGGATGCAAACGTAAGGTGCGGGCGCCGGTGGTCCTGCCCAGCCCCACTACCCATCTCAAAGTTTTCCCATAGAGGCCTTTGGCCCGACCCCTGAGTCTCTCTTGCCAACGGCTCGCCAACCGTCCCCCGAGCCACAAGGTGGTCCTAGGCGTCTGTCCCATGAGCAGTGCAGGCAGGCGCCCCAGCCCACTCGTTTTCCCCGGGTAGAAAGTTGTGGCTTAGAGTTCATCCTGCCGCTCTGACCCCTTGAGGTTTTTCCAGCGGTCGACCCCAGATGCAATGGCAGGAAAGTGTCCCCTCCCCGGAGCAGGGTGTCCCGAACTCCCTAGCGAAGTGAAGCGGGACAGCAGGTGCAGGCCTGGGTAGCTTAGGGGAGGGTCGGACTGTAGTGCGCCCCCTGGCTCCCGGGGCGGGGGTCGTGTGGTCGGCCCAGGACGAGCCGGGTCTGCCTTGGCCTTCAGAGTTTCAGGGCGCACAGTGATTAGGCGCACTTCCCGCTACCGAGTTTCGTGACCCCTCCTGAGGTCGCTGGAGGCCGGGCTAGGCAGGTGCTTTCAAAAGGCGGCCCGGCCACTTGTGCATCTACAGCGCTTACTCTGCACCCGGCTCTACCCGGAGAGCGTGCTGGAGACAGCGGGGTAGTGGTGTCCGGATAGGGACAGCTCTAGACCGGCCACAGCACCCCTGTGCTTCAGTGGCAAGCTCAGCGCCAGGCTTCACAGTGCTGCTCTCGCTTTAGTACCAAGCGTCCAGAAACCAGAGGGTTAGAAACACTTCGCTCTGAGAGCAGAGGCAAGGGTTACGGTAAGCGCCCCCCACCCCCACCCCGAGGAGGATTCCTGCGTGAGGAAGCCGTGGACAAATGACAACTTGTCAGAGAGGGCTCTGTCCCCGCGGTATTGGTCCTGGGGCGGGGTGGGGGTGGGAGAGAAAGAATTAGAATTTCTCATACTTTCAATTCACACTTGTTAAGGGGAAACTTTTCCTACAGGTGGTCTTAGGGTTAAAGAAACCTCTGTGACTAAGTAAGCTATACTGAGTTTGAGAACAATGCCCCGTCCTTCACTCCCTTGTCGCCTTCCTCCCTTGCTTTCTGTCCTAGGGGACTAACTGTGGTGTCTTCCTGAGCGGTGCCCATTTGAGCTCAGAGGCCCTAGAGAGTAGAGTTGTCGAGTGTGAACAGTTTTCTTTGGGCAAAAACCCGATTCTTGGGTCCTGCTACCGTCTAGTGGGTAGAGAGGAGCATCTAATGATGGCTGAGCTTGGAGAGATGACCTTAGTCTGCAAAGAAGCATGCTTCTTGCCCTAGTACACCAGGGAACTGTGGGAAATCCACCTGGCCACCTCGGGATGCGACTGGTAGCATTTGGGATTGCCTGTGTTGGGGGTCGTGGGAAGCCACACCCATTCCTTCGTTGACGAATAGAAGAGTGCGGGGTGGTGGGAGACAACAAAATATGGGGTTCCAACGCAAATGATGAGGGAGTAGCCTTGAGAAACCCAGCTGGAAGACCAGGGGATCCAAGGTCCCCACACCCGCATCTGTGGGGTGGACCAGGTTGGTCAGCATGCTCTGAACTTGCCTCTGTGTCTTTTGCAGCCAGCATTATCCTGACTTTGCCCAGGGCGATGTCCCAGAGCTCCTGACCTTCACAACACACCTCCCTCCATCTCACTGTGGCTTCTCTTTAGAGGTGCCTGCTTTGTTTCTCTTTCCTGGTATTTTAGTGGGAGGGCAGTAGATGCCACACCTTGTTTTCAGTTTTCTTCCTCATTCTGATGTTTGGGTCCATCTGCAGCATCTCAGAGGCCCCCTGCTTTCTCTTTGACTTCTTTGCTGAGGCTTCAGAGCCAGGCTCCTTGTCTGGCACTGTGTGCAAGTTACTTAGAGATGGCTAAAGATCCTGGCTAGAGGTGCCGAGGGGCGATACTTTAGACTTCTCTACTTTGCATTTGGGCTGGACTCTGGGACTAGCCAGAAAGGAGGCCTGCTGTCCAATCACAAAAGAACCTGAGCTGATTGCTGCCTTTAGTCCTCTTTGGGATTCTTAGGCAGGAAGTGTCCTCCCAGCTTGGGAGGAGATGGCGGTGGGTAGTGCAGAGTGTGACTGCGGAGTCCTAAGGAAAGGAGGAGAGGGACTGGGGTGGGGGGGTTCCTAAGAACAGCTTTAGAGCCTGCCCAAGCTTCCTCTCCTCTCCTCCAGTGAAAAACTGCCCAAGTCTTGTCAAGTGCTTGGAATGGAAGATGTCCTGCCTTTGGTCTCAAGTCTTAGCTGCTGAGAGCTGCCCCAGCTGTGTTTATAATGCCAAGGCAGCATCCTTCATGTGGCTTCTCACTATGGACGTCCTTCACAATGTGCTCCATTTATTTACCCCAAAATGACACACTGTCACCTATAAACACCTCCCTGCCTCCCAGAAGTTTTATTTTGTTTCTTCCTTTTGTGTTGTATTTTGTTCCTCTCTGTAGCACTGGCTGACCTGGAAACTCACTGTGTAGACCAGGGTGGCCTTGAACTCACTGACATCCTCCTACCTCTGTCTCCTGAGTGCTGGGACTAAAGGCTAAAGTCATGTGCCACCACTGCCCAGCTAACTCCTAGAAGAATCTTTTCAAGTTCTTAAGGCAGGGTAAGCTCCCCACTTAAGCCTGTGACTTCCAGTTCGCATATCCACAGAGGACGCGGCTGTGGTCTTAGTGGATGGAGCAGTAGGTGCAATAAACTTGGGCATGCGTAGATTCCACGGAGTGGGCCACTGCTGGTCATCCCTGGATGAGGACACCAGTGTCTATAATCACAAATCGATGCAGCTGCTCGGGCTAGTAGTGTAGGGCTGCTGGGAACTGGCAACTGTGGCTAATCCAGAGAGTGAAGGCCGTTTGGTTGACTCTAATGACTTCCAGCTTCCCCCGCCCCCCACTGAACAACTGATAGAAAGATACCCTGTGCTTTCTTTGGCTGTGTCAACCCAAAGTGATTGGCAGAGCAGGCATAGTCCATCACTGTGTGGTTTTACCAGTGGTTGGCACTCAGCTGAGTTTGTTTAGTTAACTGCTCCGTTTTACGGGTATAATGGGTTGGGAGTTTGTCTTCCTTCCTGTGACCTTTCAGCTGTAGGGTATGGGCCATGTAGATCTGGTCGGTGTCCTCCTTCTGTGTCCTTGGCTGGTTTGTCCTCCCACCAGTGACTGATGGGAGAAGTTATAGAAATAGCCTCAGTTCCCTCACTCTGATGGGGCTACCTTGGGACATGTCCTGTGCTGTCTCTAGAGTTCCTTCTTGGGACACTTTCCAACTGCTCACAGGAAAAACTTCCTCTCTCTCTCTCTCTCTCTCTCTCTCTCTCTCTCTCTCTCTCATCTTACTTTTATTCTGTGAGTACCTGCATGTATGGATTGCACCATGTGACGCTTGGTGCCCACAGAGGTCAGATAAGGGCATTGGATTTCCTGGAACTGGGGTTACACATGGTTGTGAATTTCCATATAGATGGTAGAAACCGAACCTGACCTAGAGAGCAGCTGGTGCTCTTAACCACTGGGCTGTTCATCACTGTTTCCCCCTTCTTGTCTCACATACCCCTGGCCCTGGCACTTGAACTTGAACTCTTGTCTCTGCTTCTGGGGGAAATCCACCTAAAACAGACTTTGGTTTTAGTTTGAAATATCATTTAAAGCCTTGTGATCCCCAACTGCAAGATGGAAATTCAAATAACTATCCCCTAGTGATATTCTGAAGACAGTAAACTGTCACCTACTGTCAGAAAAGGGCCTGGCACACAGCAAGGGTTAGGGAGAACGTTTTCTGGTTCTTTGATTCATAAGCAGGAGGCTGTGCTAGATCTGAGAGCATTGTGATGGTGGAGTATGGGGAACTAGGGTTGGAAAGAAGCTGTTTGGTGAGAAAATGAAGGTCCACAGCTTGGACGCATAGCTCGGTTGTGACCAGTGATGCACTGTAGCTTTGCAATGGCTAGTTGTCAGAAGTGGGGCATGGGAAAGCCTTGCTTTGGGCACTCACCTGTTTCAGTAGTGTAAATAGTCTTGTTATGTCTGGCTTTTAGCCATCAGCATGGTGCCATTGAACACTGAGTTGGCAAGACATGAGTTGTGTGAACCCTTTGGCTACAGCTGAGCTGGGATACACCCCAGTGATCTCACATTCAATCTTACACACTGAGAGGGGAGGATCATGACTGTCCTGGGTGTCCAAAATTCGCTCTGACTTGTTTGACTCACCATGTGAGACAGTTCTAGGGCCCTACGATGGTTACTGAGACATTTATGCCAAGTCTTTCTGGGCCTCACTTCCTCATCTCAAGGGCAAGGGATTGGGTGGCTTCATGTGTTCCTTTTAGCCCTTGGTTCCTTTAGGAAGGGTCTATTGCATTTTAAGAAAATGTTTAAACGTCTACTCAAGACCAGAGTCTTGAGCAACAAAATGTTTTGCAAAAGCATTTGTACATCCTCATGGCCGTGCATCCCTGGGCACCCTCAAGGAATGTTAGGGTCTCCTGCTGGATAAGAAGTTCAGTGGACATTGACCCAGGATAACCCTGTCTGCCTTTCATGGCTCATGCAAGATGCAAGGACAGAGAAGGCCTGGGAGGGGAGGTAAGGATGCCTTCTGTGGAAAAGGCAGTCTAACTCCTGAGCACTGTGCAGTTTCTTAGGAAGCCAAGCAGAGTTTCTGTAAGACAAGTTTTTGCATCCTTGAAGTAGCTCACTCTTCTCTACTCACTGGACAGTCTTCCAATGGGAGGGAGCCCCTGACGCAGCACTCCACCAAGGATATAATTGAACAAGTGCTTGGGGACATCCCTTGAGTCATTGTTTACAAGGCCTACAATCCCGAGTTAGTTAATTATGGCATGGAATATCATGTGGCTTCAAAAGTAAGGGTTATGGATGTGCATCCGTAAACATGGACAGCTACTATGTATTTCCAAGAAGGAAGCTACCAGGCAGGGTACTACTTTTGTGAAACATGCCATCCCTTTAGATTTGTGTCTGCAAGGATGGATGGCAATGCACTGATGACAGGTCTCTCTACATGGCAGAATTTGGGGAACTCTTGATTTCCAGTCTTCTTTTTCTCTATGTGTAATAACTTTACATTATAATGCCATATTCAAAACCATAAAACTACCCCTTTGATGGTTTTTATGTGTAAATTCACTGCCAGCAAATTCATGTGTAACCTTGTAGGACCATTGCCACTAAACATTTTATAATATTTGCCACTCTAAACAGGTACTGTACCCCTTAAGTAGTCATTCCTACTCCCTGCTCTCCCAGTCCCTGATTATTGCTATTTTACAAATTGTCTTTATGAATTTGCCTATCCTAGGTAGCCCCTATACAAATGGGATCATACAATATTTGTCCTTTAATGGCTATTAAACTTCCTGCTTATCTCCATTTTAAAAAAGCAAATGTGTATGCTGTTTGTATAATAGTGAGGGAAGCCCTGGGAGAGAGGTGTGGTATTTGGTGTCTGTGGTTTGTTTCATGCAGGGCCACAGGCCGCTGGCCTTTCTCCCTGGGACAGGTGTCACCTCCCACCTCCATCTCAGCCTGGAAGGGTGGAGGTAGGTGATTGGAGCTGAGGTGTACAGCCCTGCTGACTGGAAGCTGAGCATAGGTGGATTTGATGGTTGCTAGCTGCTGTGTCTCAGACCCCTACTGCTGAACCATCTCACCCCAGGATCATCTGTGTGGGTGGTGAGCTGGGAAGGTGGGTCAGTCAGTAGCTGTCCTCTGCTGAGTGAGAGTCACTGACTGTTGGGGTTGTTGAGACCAG